TAAAAACTCTTATTTAAAATAACTTTCAGACTCACCTGTGTGATATGCCAAACATTTAATATATACAGATTAGCAGCATGTTTATATTGGCTGCTAGGCCAATTTTAAAAAATGACTAAAGTAAAACTTCTGATACCACTTATATTTTCTATTTCTTCCCTGGGCCTTTAAAAGTTAAACCTGCACTTGACCAGTCACCAAATATTTTCCTAGTAGGTTTAATACTAGTGCCTAGGAATAGCATTAATGAAGATTCAGACATATGCAAAGTGTATGCTCTGCTTTGTGTCATTGGGCGCAATAATAGAGTCCACACAATTGTCCACGTTTGATATTACTACATATAAAGTTTCTGGCATTTGAGGAAGTTTTGCTGTGTGTCATTGTGGGACAAATAACATAGTCTACATAAGTTGTCCACATTTGATAATATTAGGTCTAAATTTTGGCATTTGAGAAAGTTTTAGAAGCTTCCTGTCCATCTTACATTTGTAATAAATAATATAAGTTATTATTAGATATTGTTGGTACTTTAACTTTGAAAGAAAACCATCTTATTACCTCTTTTTCAAGTTTTATCAAAGAACTGTCTGGATATTGAATTGAAAACTATTTGGACATTGCTACCGTTCTTATATGAATAAAGCAGTATACTTACCAAGTAGCCAAAATAAAATGCAGACATTATTTGGAGGCTGAAGCCGATTAAGATGTATTATTTATAACTTTACTTTCAAATATTTATTAGTACGGTCTTACTGTTCTCAATATCTAACTTTATAATAAATATTATAAATATTTATATACATAGAATCACTTAATATCTATTAAGTATATATTTAAACATATAAATAAATCAACCCATGACTTTATATGTTTATAAAATCTAAAATAAATATTATAAATTCGAACCTCTGAAATTTATACTAGTCAAATTATCTAGGTTTGTGTGAGATTTAATTGGAAAAAAAAAATCTCTTACTAAATAAAATTAGAAGCCTGTTAAGCAAGTTAAAACATGTATTTGGGAAAATAGGCTTGCCTAAGTTGCACAAATTGTATCCACACTTGGATTTTATCCAGCACAAGTCTTGCTGCTTTCCAAAATTTATTTTATTAAAGATCGCTTATAGGCTGAGGCTGAAGGCGTGTCATTATCCTTTAACAATATATAATTACCACATACTGTCCTTTGGTAATCTGACACTTATTGCAGAACTGAACTACCTTGGATTCTTAGGTAAGGAAGAGTTTGAATTCTTGTGCCTCAGATTTTCCTTTTCTGCTTTTACTTGGATGTGTGAGATTCATAAATATGAGAGTGAAACAAAATAAAAGATGCTTTATAAATACATATGTTAATTACATATTTCTTAGTTGTATTTTATTTGAGGTGTTAGAGTTCTACTTTTTTTTTTCCAATTTTTATAGACTGAGCTTGATTTTCATATCCACTTGAATTCTCATTGATTTTGTGGCTAATCAAACTCCCAAGATGTCATTTACTTGAAGTTAAGTATTGATATTTATGATTTGAATATCTTTAACAACTTTATAGTTAATAACTTTAAATTCTCTTGTGGTGAAAGTATTCAGTTTGGCCAGTGTCTTCGCAGTCAATGCTCTACTTTAATACTGTTTTTATAGCTAAATCTAATATTGTTTCTAACACATTATAAAGATTGGAACTTATATGAGTAAGTTTGTATTTATATAGTAAATAAATACAAAAAATGTAGTTTGTGATGGTTTTGGAGATTGGGCTGCAGTGACATTTATTAGTGAAGTAAAAAATCAATCCATAAGAAAAGATGAAGTGATACTTTATTTAGTCTATAAATTTTTAATGGACAGGGGTCTCCACTTTCTAGGTGAGGATTTTTCATTTTTCTAAGTATTCTTAAGAAAATCAGTTTTAGACTTTTGGCTAAACATAGAGGTTAGAATAAATATGTTTATTTGCTCTTCCTAAAGTCACTAAATTGACAGAATAAACAATAAAGAAATAAAGAAAGAGAATGGAAGAGGCAATATAACATCAGGCTAGAGAAGTGAAATTTTAGAAATGTTAGAAGAGAAATGCATAAATTATAACCAACTTAGCAGAACAGTTTGATGGAACATAATATTTGATCATTATATTGAGTTATAATTTATTTAATTAGTCCCTAATATTGAGTCATATATATAATTTTTTAGTATATGATAATGGTTTATCATAATTAACCATTCATCCGTTAATGACCATTTAGGTTTTTCAGCTTGTCACTGTTAGAATTAGCATTCCATGCATCAGTCTTAAAAGAAAATACTTTAGGGTTTTTAGAATTGAATGGCTGAATCAAAGTTTATCCCTTTTATGAGTATTGATCCATGCTGCCAGATTGCTTCGCAAAGCCATTTTCATTATTACCATCAATGTGTGGAATTTTCCATTTCACTATATCCTAGCCAGCATTGCGTTTACCTTATGATCTTCAATCTGGGGAGGGACACAAAGACCTTGCATCAATTGCTTGACTGTGGTGCTGTGGCAAAGTGTGGCATGACATGACATGACAGATTTTACCAGGTGAAGCTTAGCTGTGTGCCTTTACCACTGCCACCTTATAATAAAGACAGATGCTATGAGTTTAGAGTAAGGGGTGATTTCCTTTATTTACCTGGGATGCTCAAGGAAGGCTTCATGTAAGAAGTAGAATTTGAGCTGTGTATAATGTGGGAAAATTTATAAAGAAAAATTTGCAGACACATGAGAGATTTATAAGTCTGGATCAAACCAGGAGACAGAGCCACATAGTAACTAAAATTGTTAGTTTAACCTAAAGAATTATTAGGGTTTGATAGGAGAAAAACCATGAAGTCACTCTATAAAGACAACTCTAAAAGGTACCCTAGGGCTGAAGAAAAGTACCCAATGAAGAACAGAATTGAAATGAGGGTTCAGACCTCATTGAAAGTATGGTTATGGCCCATTGGATGGGAGAGAAATTTGCTGGGTTGCCTGTGTCAAAGCTGGGGCTCAATCACAATGTCAGCAGGTAAGCCAAGACGGTAGGAGGGCATGCCGAGGGAATCGGGGCAGTGCTGCAGGGCTGAGGCATGGAGAACAAGTGTCTGTTAGGAGGGCCACAGTAACAGCCCTTGGGGTGCAAGTGAGTAGAGGGAGTTGGAGCACCACTTTAGGTACTACTGGAGTTGCAAGTCGGAGAGGCCTCCCTATGTAGCAGTCTAGAGCACTGTTGTGTACAGCTTGGGGCAAGGTAATATACCAAGCTGCTGTGTGGAACAAAGGTCAGGGGGTTAGCTGGCTAAGCCAGTGCATGTGGCTAAGGAGAAGGGGTAGGGAGTAGCCACATGGTCTGGGGCTCCTGGCTATAGTGCTGCTGCTACCTGAGTAGAGGGCTGGAGAAAAAGCACACAGCAGCTAGCTAGATGCTGGAGAATGCTTTCCCCTGTAGGCATCTAGTATTAGTGTTGTTTTACAGCCTTGGCATTATTGACCCTCAGGGCTGGATAATTATTTGTTGTGGGAAGCTGTCCTGTGTATGGGAGGACATTTAGCAGCATCCTTGGCTTCTATTCACTGTATCCCAGTAGTTCCCCAAGTTGCGACGATGGAAAATAGCTCCAGATATTGCCACATGTTCTCTAAGGGCAAATTGTCTCTAGTTGCGAACCACTGCAATAGAGGAATCTTACAGCAGTGTAACAGTGGAGGGGGTAAAATATAAGCTCTCCAGAAGCCTGCTGAGAAAACTCCTTCCTTCTGCAGAGCCTCTCCAGTACACTCTATTGACAGAGCTTAGCATCATGTCAGCTAGCAAAGGAAAAATATTTTAAAGGCCCAGATCCACTTTTCCAGATAAGACAATGAAGGATGAATTTGGAGTGGAAAGGCAACAAACTGATAACTGCACAAAAAAGTGCAGTTATAGAATTAAATATGATTGGAGATTAAATATGAGCAAAGTTACAGAAGTAGAAAAGCATAGGGACACTAGGGAAATTCAAGGACAAGAAGACTAAAGTACAAGGTTGGTCACTTTGGGAGGCCAAGGCGAGTGGATCACAAGGTCAGGAGTTCAAAACCAGCCTGGCCAAGATGGTGAAACCCCATCTCTACTAATTTATTTCATAATTTAATGTAGTGCTTTATTATATAAAATATGCTTATTGGGGCCGAGCTTGGTGGCTCATGCCTATAATCCCAGCACTTTGGGAGGCCAAGGCAGGTAGATCACCTGAGGTCAGGAGTTCAAGACCAGCCTGGCCAACATGGCGAAACCCTGTCTCTACTAAAAATACAAAAATTAGCCTGAGTGTGGTGGTGCATGTCTATAGTCCCAGCTACTTGGGAGGCCAAGGCAGGAGAATTGCTTAAACCCAGGAGGTGGTTTGCAGTGAGCTGAGATCATGCCATTGAACTCCAGCCTGGGCAACAGTGAGATTCCATCTCAAAAAAAAAAAAAAAAAATATATATATATATATGTATATATATATTTAGAGAGAGAGAGAGAGAGAGAGAGTGAGAGAGTGAGTGAGAGAATTTGGGACAAGAGTAAGAGGAGGAAATAAGAGACCATAAGGAGTTCATTGTCCTTATTCTTCTATGGAGAGAATGCAAGGGCAAGCCAGAACCTCTTCACTTTCTACCAGGTGAAAGTAGAGGGACTTGTCTCGTGGTAATGCACAGAGCTAAAAGAGAATTCCAGCAGAGGGAAAGTGGAAGTTATGGTTTTGATTCAAACCCTTCTATAGTCTTTTATTTTGCCAAGCATATGTCTCCTCCTTTCTAAGTACTCTTGTGGTTTGTTAAAATTTGTCTTGCAATCTTAGAATCCAACATCACTGAACAGTCATAGTTTCCCAGATGTCTTTGTGGCATTTCCTTCTAGGTATACTGAAATTTGCCCTTTTTTTTATTCTTGAATTTTGTCCTTGGCTCAAGGTTTCACATTTTACTGACTCTTCATACTACTTTTCTCCTTTTATTTAGAAATGGATTCCGAACTCAAGGAAGAAATTCCTGTGCATGAGGAATTCGTTTTGTGTAGTGGAGCCGAAACCCAGGTTCTAAAGTGTGGGCCCTGGACTGACTTCTTTTATGATCAAAGTGTCAAAAGACCTAAGCTGCTTATTTTCATTATTCCTGGTGAGTATAAAAGTCTGGATGAGGAGACTTTAGGTAGATACTTATAACTGTATCTGACTTTTAAAGTATAATTATAGAGAATTTGGCAAATATAGAAAACCTTCTACGAGGAATTAAAATCACTTGACCCATTGTTAACAACCACCTTTAATATTCTGATGGCTGAACTTTCTGTTTTTCTTCTGCATATTTATATTATGTTGTCTATTATATGCATGTGTGTATGTCACAGTTGGAAGTGTATACCATATATGCAGTTTTGTAATGTGCTTTTTCAAACATTTCTTAATATTTAAAACTTCATTAATATTTTTGTCAGTTTTCTAAATGTTTTCTGCCTCATTTCAAGATGATTATGTATTTATTATACAACATTTATTCTGAGATTTGGCATCTGAATCACTGGTCACTTTTGCTAGATCACTGCCAGTGGAATGTTAGGGACAGATGCTTGAGTAATTACAGGTATTTGAAATGCATTTTAAATTGTGAGTTTGAATATACATGTTTATAATACATTGAAAATTCTTATTCTGTGAACTGCTAATTTGAAGTCCTCACCCATTTTTCAGTTGTATGTTCAATGTTTTCCTTACTGATTTTCAGTTGATTCTTACACAACTGTAAAATTGTGTGGTATTTGTCATATGTGGCAAGAATCTTTCTGGTTTGTCTTTTGACATCAATACAATGTTTATTTGATTGTATAGAACGTGACATTGTTATGTGGCCAAAATGCTAAGTCTCTTCCTTTAAGACTTCAGAGTTTTATGAGTTTCTTAGAGAGGACTTTCCTACTCCAAGATTATAAAACAATTCTTCCATGTCTTCTAGTGGGTTTACAGTTTCATTTGTAATCTTTAAGTTGATGCATCTAGATTTTAAGGGCAAGGACTAAGGAAGGGATCTAGTTTTCTTCTTTCTCCTTTGATGGCTTATTACTTGGTCCACAACCATTTATTGTATAATCTGCCTCTTCCCTACTGGTTTGCAATGCTAACTTTTTCTTAAAGTAGCTTATCCTGTGGCTGGGAGTCTCTTTCTGTGATTTTTGCCTCTTCATGTGTTCTTCATGTTTTTTAATAGCTGTAGTTTCATGATGCTTTTACATATTTTTTGGAACTTGTTCATTTTTATTCTTTTCCAAAATATTCCTTGGCCTCTTTTCTTTTGGCTGCAGAATATATTTCTCGGCTTCATTAGGAAGGGGAAAAAAAAGCTTAAATGAACTTTAAAATCAACTTTCCTAAAATTGATCTCATAAAGGCAGAGAGTAGAATGATAGATACTAGAGGCCAGGAAGGGTGTGGGGCTGGGAGGAGGGATGAAGAGATAGGTTCACAAATACAAAAATACAGTTAGATGAAAGATATAAGTTCTATTTTTGGAACTTATTTATACCAACAGATAGTTGGATAGTCAGCAGAGTAGACTAACTATAGTTAACAATAATGTATTATATTGGTACAAAATAGCTAGAAGAGAGGACTTGGATTTTTCTCAACACATAGAAATGATAAATATTCAAAATGAATGTATTAAAACACCTTGACATGATCATTACACATTCTATACATGTAACAAAATATCACATGTACCCCATGACTATATAACATCAATATTAATATCTTTAAAAAATAAATAGTAACCAAAAAATCAGCTTTCTAGTTTCAACAAATGTTCTCAGAGGCAAACACTTTTAACACTGGTATATTCCTGTGATATTTGTCCCACATTCCCTTTTTTTTTTTTTGAGACAGAGTCTTGCTGTCTTGCCCAGGCTGGAGTGTAGTGGTGCAATCTGAGCTCACTGCAACCTCTGCCTCCTAGGTTCAAATGATTCTCCTGCACCTGTTTCAGTCTTTCAAGTAGTTGGGATTACAGGCACCTGCCACCATGCCTGGCTAATTTTTATAGTTTTAGTAGAGATGGGATATCACCATGTTGGGTAGGCTGGTCTTGAACTCCTGGTCCCAAGTGATCTGCCCACCCCAGCCTCCCAAAATGCTGAGATTACAGGTGTGAGCCACTGTGCCTGGTTTTTACTTCACATTTCTAAATGAAATCTTTATATTTCTTTTTCTTGAGTTTTTGTTTTATTTTGTTTTTTGTTGTTGTTGTTTTTTGAAATGGAGTCTTCCTCTGATACTTAGGCTGGAGTGCAGTGGTGTAATCTTGGCTCACTGCAACCTCCTCCTCCCAGGTTCAAGTGATTCTCCTGCCTCAGCCTCCCTAGTAGCTGGGATTACAGGTACACATCACCACGCCCAGCTAATTTTTGTATTTTTAGTAGAGATGGGGTTTCACCAGGTTGGCCAGGCTGGTCTTGAACTCCTGACCTCAAGTGATCCACCAGCCTCCCAAAGTGCTGGGATTATAGGTATGAGCCACCATGTCCAGCCTTGAGGGTTTTTTGTTTTTGTTGCTTTTTATTTTTTTTGAGACTGAGTTGCACTCTTGTCGCCCAGGCTGGAGTGCAGTGGTGCAATCTCTGCTCACTGCAACCTCCGCCTCTGGGGTTCCAGTGATTCTCTTGAGTTTTTAATATTAGATATTATCTGTTATCTTCCTCCTTAAAGAAAAAGATTTGCTTTCTTATACTTTCCCTTCTCCATACACAATCATACACCCCTCCTTCTCTACCTATCTTCCTAGTATGGGAATATTGCAGTTTTTGGCTAGATCAATATGCAATGCTTTTATTATTTTGACTATTATATCATATTATATATAGCTAAGCCTATAGGGAATTATACATGTGTTTCCTTTCTTATATATTTTTGTTTGGTTTCCCTGGTTTAATGGTGTTCTGTTATTTTTTTTGCTTAGTTTTTAGTGCTTCAGTCACTCATTTATCCTAGAACTATTCTCTAGAAGTGAGAAAATCCTCTCAATGCATTTGAGTAATCAGTCAGTTTTCAGAATATTCTGTCCTGTGGCTCATCTGGACTGATTGGTCCCCAGGCCTGCTGCACAGTTGCCATCCTGGGGATTTCTGTCACTTTCTCCTGGCTTAGATTCCCCGTTTCTCAGATCCCACATTTTTATCTTTCTTAGTTTATTCTCTTGTTTTTGGTGGAGCACACCTTCTAGTAAATTCCTCAGAAGAGGTGCAAGGGAAGTAACACAGCATGCTGGAAAGTGTCTTAGACTCTGGGTTGGAAATAATTTTTCTTTAGGAGGAAAATGGAGGACATTAATCATTATTTTCCAACACTCAAAGCTGCTTATAAGAAGTATTGGTATCATTTCTGATTTTAACCTTTTGTATGTGAAGCTTCTCTACCCACATTTTGGAGACCTTTTCTTTGTTCTGAGATTCTGAAATTTTACAGTGAAGCATCTTGGTGTGACTATTTTTTTATACAATGTACCTGGGTTTGGTGGGCCATTTTAAGCCAGAAACTCATTTCATTCTAATACCTTTTTGTTTTTCTTTGTAGTCTCCTGTTTGATGGATGAAATATCATTTTCTTTTTCTTTTGTGTGTGTAAGAATTTTCACTGTGTTCCTTTTTCTTTTTGCACAAGTCTTTAGTTTTCCTCAGATCTCTGGCAATTTTTGACTAGCCATTGATGTTTAAGAGGAAGGCAAAAAACAAATTGGAAGCTTTGGACTCAGAGCTGGAGCTTATTCAGAGGTGTGTCTAGGGTGATTAGCCATCCTGGCCTGCCTAGAACCAATAGGTTTTCTAGGACATATGACTTTCAATACTAAAACCATGACAGTCTCAAGTGAAACAAAGGGGTTAGTCACCCTAGGTGGGCCTCATCCTAAGGTTATTGAGTAGCGACCCAGCATTTCATTGAGGGATGTCCAACCTTCAATGTCTGAAGCTCTTTCTTTTATTGTTCAGTTTTCCCAGGGAGAAATCATCCAGGCTCCTGTTTGAAGAGTGAAAACCTGCCTGTTACAGGTTCCCACTAGTATCTCCTTTCCCCTGTTCCTCTTTGAACAGGGTTTCAGTATTTGGTTATGCTTAGTCTAACTTCTTCTCAGTATAGTACTTCCATTCTCAGCTGGACTGAGATTCTTGATTCAGAATTTCTCTTTGTTTTAACCTCTTCTGGGAATAAACTTTTCTTCTGCCAGGATGTAACAGTCCTGGCAGCTTAAGTTTATGTAGGTGAGGTTATTTGGATTTGCTCACAATAATGAATTATGGGACAAAATTTTTGGCTCAGTCAGTCCAACTGGATTTTGAAATGTCCTGATATGACATGACAAATGAAACTGTCATTTAAGGGTCAAGGCTTTGTGTGAGTGACTAAAAAGTTGATAGATGGAAACAGATGGTTTGAGTCTTAAAGGAGAAGAGGTTGTTCTAATAGTAAATGGGATAGACAATACACCCACTTCCCCACCTGGAGATAGTATTTATTCCCTCACTCTTTTATCCTAGGTGCTAGGAATATGTGTTGCATAAGTCTTCGCTCTCACTGAGTTATATGTGGTGTTAGAGAAGAGTGACCAAGGCCTCTGCTAAAGAGGATTGAAAGGAAGAGAGCCCATTACAGGGGAGAGCCAGATTTCAGAGAGGAGATAAAGGAAGCATTCAGTGAAGACACTGAGGATGGAGGGAAGCATAAAACATTTGTAGTTTGATAGTCTCATTGTTTACAGTGCTTTGACATTTTCAGATCACATTTCATTTCCTAGTGTTCTCTTATGTTTGCTCTGCTCATGTGGGATTCAGAACTGTATTTTTTTTTTTTTTGGCAGGTTTTGTGGGGAGCTAGTTTATTTACACTGTGGGAATAATCAGGATAACAGTATTTCAAGGATTGTGAAGCCACTATGGGCACCATGTTAGGTCCATCTCTGATAGACTGACATAGCATTTCATTTTAAATCACGTTACTTTTGCAGTTAGCAAAATTAATTCTTCACTTCTAAGTTAGTAATGATAATGATGAGTGATTGATCAGAATCTACGGATTGAAGAACTTTTAATTTAGTTTCATCTTTTCCAGTGAACCTTAGATCTTGGATTTCTGTTA